CAAAACAGCGCTGTGGCTTTGTTTGGAATTATTTTTGTTGGCGAAATAGTGCAAAAACAGGCAATATGGTGTCTAAGACGTAAGTCTCTTAATAAAACTTCTAGTTTATTGAACTGTTGTAAAAAAAATCAATATCATATTTGTATATGGTAATTTTTGGAGAAAAAAAGGCACTCTTCCGTGTGAACTTGATTATAAATATACACATTTTCTGCCCCCATGTCTTGAATTTGTGATCATTCTGAATGTATTTTAATAGACTGAATCATGCAGTGAAAGAGCGCACCAGACTTCACGTAATGCCTGCACTCTGTAGGTGTTTTGAATGTTTGTTTTTTTTTGCGTCGTGAGAATATTGAGTAAAATAGCTCACTTGTCATGGTGTTATTTAACTATATCATGTTATGAATAAACTAAACATTTTGAATTTTTACCTCAGTGTGTTTCTTCTGAGTTTATGTGTGCTGTCACGCTCATTTGTTCTGAAGTCTCGAGACAAACAGAGTGAGCTCAGCGCGAGCTTGTATTCTGTATTCTGCTAACTTACTGCAGTTCTCTCTGATGATGCAGTAACTTACCTCTGGAAGAAAAAATCTTCGGTCTGTCCAATGATTGTAAAGTCATTAGGTCCGTCAGACTGAAGATATTTTAGCGGTAATGAGACCAAAAACATTTAAGACCCATCGAATCCGAATTTAAGACATTTTAAGACTTTTTAAGGCCTTATATTAGGAAAACGTTATTTAAGACATTTTAAGGACCCGCGGACACCCTGGTTTCAGCAAATCTTCATTTTTGGGTGAACTACTGCTTTAACGTGTTTCAACAACATCTGAAACTCACCGTTTTGGGGAGATGAAGGGGACACATAGAAGTAGTACGGCAAACACCTCAGCATACAGAAACGTTGCCACGGCCGTCCATTGAAGACTCATGACGGCTACCTGTAAGTCTATGAGAACATATCAGCAGTGATCAGCCTAACAGATTACATGCGCATTATTAACCAGACCCTGTAAACATTAATTAGCATTAAGAATGTGAAATGCACAAGGTTATGACAATATATTGTACTACGTTTGAACAAAAGCCCTGATGCAAAGCACACTCGTTCCTTTTATTTATTACACCATGTAAGAAATGCAGACATGCAAGTGCTCTGGTGATGCTCATTAAAATCGATACAACAGCACCATCTTATGTCTACTACAGAAAAGCCCCAGCCACAAGATGAAACCATCTCTGAGGCCTTTACAAATTATGAGACATGATCAATAACCAGCTCATGTCAAATACAAAGAGAAACTACTTGGTTTTGGTAACATCTCAACTGGTAAAAGCAGCTCACAGAGAACAATTTCGGTCATTAAAGACAAGAAAATTAGCAGGAGCAAGTGTATTTATCAAATAATTCAGAACAGATTAAAAAATTAAAGGCAGGGAGTCATGATTCCATATTTAAACGTTTGATAATAAGGGAAGGAATAAACATTTGTTGATAGATCTCATCAAATATAACATACGAATGAATGAATTACAAATGTATTCTGTCAAAGTACATCTGCTTAGACTGGCTGCAAATCAGCAAAATAAGACTTTAAACTACTAGTTGATATTAGACATATATATATATATATACA